AGGTCACCGATATGGTAGTCCAAAATGTCATCCAACAAGATCAAAATGTCGAGGACAATCAGTCACCAATGTCGGAGATACAGAGTCCAAATGTAMCCGGTGTCCGAACTGTGATSCCGCCAAGTATCAAMCCCAACAATCTCCAAGTCTCCAATCCGGTAAGTACCACAGTCTCATACCACCGAAGTCCAACCCTGATCTCTGTCCAACTAGTATAAGTCTCCAATCTGAAGAAGAAGAAGAAGAAGAAGAAGAAGAAGAAGAAGAAGAAGAAGAAGAAGAAGAAGAAGAAGAAGGGAGCCGAGGAGGGGAGAGAGAGAGAGGGGACTGGCGATGGGAGGGAGGAGAGAAGCCTCCAACTCCCGATACCTCAGGCGGCTATGGCCGCCGGTACACTCAGTCGCYGCTGCTGCTGCTCCGCTCGCTGCTGCTGCGCTGCACTGCTCCTCGCTCCTGCGCTAAACATAGCGCCAGCGCTGTTTCGCGCTGTACCATACCGTACCRGTAGAATGCCGGTAGGTCGATGCCTCRAAGTGAGGYCGGACCAGTACTAAGTACTSGTTCGAAGAGGACCGGCCTCAATGCTGCGAGGCCTTGGTTGGGGCTGAACCGTCCAGATCGACGATTCAGGYCCAACCGGAGAGCGGCAGCCTCAAACGGCGCAGCCAGGCCCAAAACGAAATGTCGTTTGGGCCTGGTCCGTAATCGGGTCCAAGTGGTGGCCTTTCGGCCTGTTATCCCCCAAGGTCGGGCCTTTAGGCCCTGATGTGCCCCTCTAGCCCTAAGTCGGGTCCGGTAGGACCCGTGTGGCGTCGAAGATGTAACACACTCCCTCTCTTAAAAGACCGAGCTACTTGCGAGGGCGGAGTTGTCTGTCCGATACCGGGATGGGTCGGGTGGGACGAGCTGCTGCCTTGGCAAGTCGTGTCTTCTCATAGTTGGCGAAGATAAGGGGTGCAGAAGTCTGCAAGTCTGCACTAGAGATCCACCGAGTGTCGTCAGGTGCACATTGCTTAATTGTGACTTTGTACTGCATTGGCTCGTTCCCATACTCGAGGTGCGTGATGACTCGGTCCACTTCCTGATTTCCGTCCATGGAAGGCGGATCCTGTGATCGACGTCCGAGAAACTCATCAACTGAAGGTGGCGTGTAGATGGCCAGCTTCGATGTGTGGAAGACCCGATGCACTGTAAGGTGCGGTGGAATGTTGATCACGAAGGAAGGACCTGCGGGGTCGTCTCCAACGGCAGAAGTGACTTCCCATGGTCCGAACCATTTCGGAAGGAGTTTGCGCGAAACGTCCTGCTCGAGCGCAAATTCCTCGGAGAGGACCCAAACAAGGTCTCCCTCGCGGAGAGGACATGGAAGTCGACGTCGGTTAGCCTGCTGCTGCATGCGGATCTGAGCCTTTTGCATATTTGCGCGGGCTTTGATCAGCAAGTCCCGGTACTTCCGAACGGAAGGGGGAGAGCAAGGGACGTCTATGTCGGCAGCCTGTGGCAAAAGGAGATCAGCGAAGATCCGTGCTTTCTCTCCACCATGATGTAGCTCGAATAGTGTGACACAGATTGCCGGGTGCACCGAAGTGTTATAGGCGAACTCGATGTCGGGAAGCCGGTCAACCCAATCTTTCTGGTCGGGACGGATGAGCGTACGCAACATCATCTGAGCGGTCTGGTGCGCTCGCTCCGTCTGGCCATCCGTCTGCGGGTGCAGAGCCGAGCTCGGCTTCATTGTCGTACTGGACTCAGCCATGAGGAAGGTCCAAAAGGTTGACATGAAGCGAGTATCTCGGTCGCTCACTACGTCTTCCGGAACACCCTGGTTGGTAATCCAACCGGTGTGCAAGAGTCGTGCGAGCTCGGGCGCTGCAGCATGATACTTGCAAGGAAGGAAGCGAGCATACTTGCTCAAACGGTCAACGACCGTGAGAAYACCGTCATGGGCGTGGCGATCGCGGGGGAACGGGCCTGTCACGTCCATAGCAATGGAGAGGCGCGGTGCCCGAGGAATCGGCAACGGTTTCAGTTCGCCGAAGGGGACTCGAAATCGACCCTTGTTACGGTGGCAAACTGCACATGACTCAATGTACCTCGTGACGTCATGAAGGACGTCGGGCCAGTGAAAACGCTGGCAGAGGCGTGCTAATGTGCGGTTCACGCCAAGGTGTGCCGAAAGTCGTGCGTCGTGGAATTCGTCGAGAAGACGAGTCCGTAAGATGCGATCTTGGGGCACGACTAACAAGTCCTTTCCTCTCGTGTGAAGGAGAAGGAACCCGTCGGCAATCCGATAGTGGCTAGCCGGCAGGTGATCCGATAAGAGCTTTGCATATAGCGTGGAGTAAGTCGGATCGGACTTGTAGCCTTTGACGAAATGCGGCTGCAGATCGTCATCGATGTCGAATGCCGTGGTCACAATGGCACAAACGTCGGGTCGTCGTGAGAGGGCATCCCCAGCTCGATTGGCGGGACCGGGAATGTGGCACGGGTCAAAATCGAACTGGTCGATGTAATACATCCATCGACCGATCGTGCTAGTGACTGTGTCCTGCGTTTTGTAAAAGGTCAACGGATTGTTGTCCGTATTCCATTCAAAATGCCRACGTCCGAGAAGAAAGTGGCGCCACCGTTTGAGAACGGTGACGAACGCGAGTGGCTCTTTCTTCCTAGCGTCGTCGAGAGTGTTGACGAGAGGCACCTTTTGGGAGAAATACTCAACCGGATGCCAACCGTCCTCGTGACACTGTTCCAACACCGCACCAATACCGTATCCCGAAGCGTCCGTAGTCACTTCGGTGGGTAGGGTGGGGTCGTATATGCGGAGGGCAGGTGCGGCTTGCATYGCTGCCTTCAACGTAGTGAACGCGCCACGGGCTGCGTCGTCGAACTCGAAGGGCACCTTCGGGGACTGAAGTSTCGACAAAGGAGCGGCCACTTTCGAGTATGACTCGACGAATCGCTGATAGTATCCAGCCAAACCCATGAAAGATCGTACATCCGTCGTACAACGGGGTTCCGGCCAATCCACGATGGCTTGGATCTTGTCCGCTAAGGGACGAATGCCTTTCGGCGTAACATAGTGGCCCAAATACTCAAGCTCTTGCTTGGCGAACTCGCACTTGTCGCGGTTCGCTTTGTACTTGGCCAGTCGCAAACGATTCAAAACAGCGCGAAGGTGTGTGATGTGCTCGTCCAACGTCCTGCTATAGACCAAGATGTCATCGAGGTAGATGAGGACACTGCGATCGAGCAAGTCGCAAAACTCAGTCGTCATAGCTGCTTGAAAAGTTGCAGGGGCATTGGTGAGGCCAAAGGGCATGACAACCCACTCAAAATGCCCGTATCGCGTCTTGAATGCGGTCTTGTACCGATCTTGAGGCTGGATTTCAATCTGGTGGTAACCTGACTTCAAGTCCAACTTCGAGAAGTACGTCGCGCYGCCTAACCGCTCAAGGAGATCATCAATCCGAGGGAGAGGGCCGGCGTTCTTTACGGTTTGTGCGTTAAGTTTGCGATAGTCGATGCATAACTGTAGATCTTTGTTCTTCTTCCGGACGAAGAGAACAGGTGCATTGTATGGCGAGCAACTAGGGCGAATCCAGCCCTTGTCGAGAAGATCATGGAGTTGTGCACGAAGCACCTCGAGTTCCTCTTCGCTCATGCGGTAGATACATCCACGCGGAGGGACGGCGCCAGCCTCGAGAGTGATCTCGTGACGTATGGGCCGAT